TTTTTTTTTACTGTTTTCCATCTACAAATTTTTTGAAAATATCAATATTCGGATAAACTTCGATAGGAACATAGTGGTAGTAGTTAATCCAGAATATTGGCAGTTAGTGAAAATGTATTTTTCAGGCTGCTCCGGATTGGCCTACAATATTAACATATTTTCGAGGTTCGGAATTGCAGAATTATTTTACTAAACTCCTGGAGGATAATCTGAAAGCTGTCGTAAAGCCGCAGTATGTTGATCAAATTCCTCGGTTTGTATTTTTCGCTTTCTTTAGAGCCCAGGTGAAAAGTCGTTGTCACATTTTTATCATTAAGATTGAGAGATAGCCACGCACTGAATCAGAACCCCTTCGCTTTCTACGTCTCCGGGAGACGAAGGCGCAAGGAAGGAGCACGGATTGTTGCCGCACAAATGCTGTCCACTGGTACGGCTGTTGATGACACTGTCTTTTGAAAATTGTTTGTGAGCAAAGTTTGTCTTCCTGACTTGTGACACTAAAACGAATTTACCAGTGAACGGAGTAGAATTGGTCATCTTACTGGCAAAGTCGAACCTCAGGCCTTCAGCACGAACGTATCATGCCCGCTGTAGCTGTAGAAACGCGATATCACTGAGGCACTTTTAAGTGGCAGTGAACGGATTTTTCAAATGGCTCTGTCTTCTACTATGCGTCGGCTACTGTTACTGCATGCACGCTGTATTTTTTAGATTGCTGTACGATGGCTAGTGTGCGTTGTTTGCACGCTACATCATGTGGTTGTCTGCAAAGTGAGAAGTAACCGTTCTTTTTTACTTTTGCTTTGTATCTCCATAACTGCAAATTTTAGAGCAGCAAAAGGGCAAGTGCAGGAGTTACTAACGAAGAAGTGTGACCGTGGCAATTTACAACAGATTTATGAAGAATTGGGTATGTTCTGTTGTGAAATAACTTGATCAAAAAAATTAAAAACCTCGTGTATTCACTCTTTGTGGGAGAGGAAGGGAAGGGAGAGGCAGAGTGGGTGGGCATGTCAGTAGCATCCATCGGCTAACAGTAATATCGATTGCTTCTCCTTCGGAGGTTTTTCATAAGTAAGTTGGTGGCGATCGCGAATCACCGGATGCACCAGCATCAAAAAAATCATAGAGAGATTGGTTGTTTCGGTAGGGGAATCAAACCTTCGACTTTTATCGCGAAATTTAAAGTTGTGATACTGCTGCTACTGGGTCAACCAACTACTTGCCACTGTGCCATTCTAACTATCGTGCTTGAATACCTCAACTTTTTTTTCCCGGCACACGCTCTTTTTCTGAACTTATTTACCATAATTCTTCTTTTTTCATATAATTGTGCAGGATGGCATTTTTTACAGAACTTGAGGGCGTAAAAGATCGAATGCTGGATCAGCTATCGGGCGGTGAATTGCAACGCTTTGCAATAGCGATGTGTGTTGTGCAGCGTGCTGATGTGTACATTTTTGATGAACCTTCCAGCTATTTAGATGTCAAGCAACGGCTGAAAGCTGCAAAAATCATTCGAGATTTAGTAACTCCTCAAAAGTGAGCAAATTTTTTGATTATGTGGAAAATGAAAATAGATTTTGAGACATCTTTTACGGTGGTATTTGGAAGTAGATTAAAGCCATCACAGTTTGTTTTTGACCACCTTCTGTTGGCGAAGTGATCTTTTCTTCCGAGTGTTACTTTGGAAGAAAGCTTCAAAGTTACTAGTTACATGGGTGGTGATCCATACTCTGGATTAATAGTTATTCCGAATATTCCAGGTAAGTTAAAAATGGTTTTAACTTGGGCCTTGTTTCAGTATATAACCTGGTATTCATCGCTGTCGAAATAAGTCAGAGTTTTAGAGGGATTACTTTTCGTGTTTGGGAGTTTTGAACCAGTAAATTAATATTGCATTTAGGCTGCATTTAACATTAACTAAGACTGCTAGCACAGATTCTTCACTGTTATTTTTCATTAGGCTTTTCTTGTTTATGGTTCAGCTCATTTCCAATGCATCCCTGATGAATCTGTGTCCCTTGTTCATTGTGACTAATAGTACAACTTTTTCAGGACGAGAAATTGAAAAAACTAGAGTAATCATTGCAAAATGAGAAAAGCAACATCTCGAGGCAGAACACCCTACTTTTTTGAAATTCTCGTCCTGGAAACGTTGTGATGAAAAAAATTATTTGAAATTTGCTCCAGTACATCTTTTTGCACATTAAAAAAGTTTTCAGTCACGGATTTTCTAATTTGCCTTATCAAATTTACTTCCTGGTTTTTGCAGCTATGTGATTGTGGTGGAACACGATTTGGCTGTGTTGGACTATTTGTCTGACTTTGTATGTTGCCTTTACGGGATTCCTGGTGTATACGGGGTTGTGACTATGCCGTCAGGAGTGCGAGAGGGTATCAACATATTCCTGGATGGTTATATCCCTACGGAAAATATGCGGTTCAGGTATCATTTCTTATTCGATTAATTGCTTTGGATTTTCAAGCGCATTCTTAATTTTTGCAGGGAAACTGAACTGTCGTTTAAAGTCACCGATCAAGCGGAAAAGGAAGTTGTAAAGCGGACAGCGCGTTACACGTATCCGTCGTTTACCAAGCGAATAGGGAATTTTGAATTGAAAGTTGAAGGCGGCGAATTTACGGATTCTGAAATTATTGTAATGCTCGGAGAAAATGGCACTGGCAAGACGACAATGATCAGGCAAGCTGTTACTTTTGAATAATTTAAATGCATGGTTAGTTTTAAATATTTGGAACAGCTGTTAGTTCATAGTCTAGTTATGCGTTTTTGCATAATATACAAATGCGAAAACGCATATTGCGACGACCCCGGTGTGTGTGTGTGTATGTGTGTGTGAGTGTGTGTATGTATGTGTGTGTGTGTGTGTGTGCGTATGTGTGTGTGTGTGTGTGTGTGTGTGTGTGTGTGTGTGTGTG